GAATTCTTTTGCCAAACACTAGTTAGTATTAGTTTTTCTTTCTAATCATCTCATATTATGATAATATTATCAATATATAATAGGAGAGCTGTAACTCCCTTTGTTTCTGGGTGCTTGATGAATAGAATGCGGTCTCATTGAGTTTGCTTAAATCACAGATTTACCATAACCTTTTTTGAACCTACCAAACCATGTTCTTGGCTATTGCTTGAGTTCATACAATATTTTTTTTAGTTTATATACCTTATTTGGTCCTGTTTCTCTATTAAAAGCTGGTGGAATATTTATGTAGATTTTTTATTCTAACTATTCATACAGTAAGACATTTTTTACATCAAATTATTATAGTGGCTAATCAAATTGGGCGGCTCAGCAAAATTCACACAATGTTAATCTTGGCTACTGGTGAATGTCTTTTGGTAGGCTATCCCAAATGTCTATATGTAGTCCTTTACCACCAACCTTGGTTTATATTTCTCGATTGCCTCATCTGCCTAGCATTTGATAATAAAGATCTATTTGCATCCCACCACTTCCTGGGCTTTGGGTAGATTCATTATTTTCTATGTATGGTTCTTTTCAAGTGTCTGGATTTCCATATTAATAGTGTATTTTTTTTTTCACATGATACTACCTCATATATTATGTTAAGGATAGATTTAGTATTTAAACTAGTGTGAAAATTTTTATAAGACGATGAACATTTATCTAATGACTCAAACTTTAATATAGGATAAAGAGGATATTTAGCGCATTGTCTTGTATCTTTATGAAGTACAATAGATATATTACTATTTGAATATATGGGTTTTTTGGGAGTTACCTCAACTCCAGGATTAAGGTTAGATTCTTGGACTGGCTTAAGCTTAATAGTCAACATTTTTTCCTTATATACACTTGAGAAAACCTAGGTTCTAGTATGATCTCTTGAGTGAATGAATTTTCTAGTGGCTTCTAAAGGTTTTTCTTGTGGTCATGGTGTTGGATGTATGACAAAGGATTGTGTAAGGTGATAGGTTAGAGTATATTAAAAACTCTGTCTCTTTATCTTCCAATATAGACTTTCCCTAAAGGTAAGGTTGAGTGAAATAAGATTCTTGTTCAACAAATATGATGTCAGCAAAACATAGAATTTTGGGTGGATGGATGGTAACATTTGTATCCTTTTTGAGTGAATACCCTACAACATTCTAAAGCTCGAGGTCAAGTTATTCTCTTTGATGGGAATAAATATGAAAGAAGGAAATACACCTAAATATCCAAGAAGCCATACGGTTCATGGCATTTATTGTCAAGTAAAATTTTTGAAGTGTTTATAGAGGACTTTTACAGTCAAGAATACTAGTGAGTAATCCGTTTTAGAAAGGAAAGCTCTGATGTGGGCGATGGTAAGGACGACTTTTCTCTAATATTGTTTTGGGACGCTGTTTTAGAAAAGGAAAGCTCTTATGGAAGAATGATAGAAGTGTTTGAATGAAAAAATCATTGGTATTTGTCAATGCGAAATCTTTTTAATGCTAGTTCTGAATTGGACTTTTATCATGTTGCGAAATTGGGGTTTGATATGGTTAACATCATATTTGATTTTGAGTAAAAACAATTTGGTTACTCTAGTGTAATTGTCAATAAACGACACAAACTATCAGACTCTTAAGTATGCGAGTTGGTCCCCAAATATCATATAAATTAATGAAAATGGAATAAAGTTCTTTTATTACTAATAGAAAATATTATTCATTTATGCAAATTCACAAATATCCCATTGTAAACTTTCATATTCTGAATTTTTAAACAATAAGGGAAACATAACCTTCAAGATGGAAAAGGATGGGTGCCCAAATCTTTTATGGTGTAGTCAAATCTTGTATATGGAGTCGGTAATAATAGCAAAGAAGGATTTCCCAAGTGCATCTACGTAGTAGAGTTCATTTATGGCTTCAACATGTCCAATCATCTTCTCTGAATTTTTGTTCTGAAAGTCACAATGAGAAGGTTTAAATGTTATTTTGCAGTTCAAGTTTCGCAAGAATTTATTGATTGACACAAGATTAGTAAACCGTTTTAGGAAACATGTAACACATTTTTTAAGACAAAAGTAGAACTGAACTTAATGTTACTCTTGCTTGAATAGTATTGAGGGAACTATCTGTAGTGACTATCTGGTACCCAAAAGGTGGCTGTGTTTGCCCTATCCTTTGAGGGTGGTTCGGATTAATTGTGACCAGCTTAGATACTGGTGCAAGTTGAAGGATCCTGGTGTCAGCCATGAAGGCCGGTTTGACTGCTATTGGTGGCCCGTGGCAGTGACTGGCAGCTGGCCTATAGTTGCTAGCTATGAAGGCTAACCTAACCTCTATAGGGTTTCTATTTTTATTATTCTTTTCTAGTTTGGTAATAAAATCTTAATAGGATTTGTGAAAGAGTTTATGATTTTTTTAATCTAATACTTTAATATTACGTTAAGAATGGTTGATGTATCTTTTAATGAATATTACAATCTTATATATACAGGTTTTCTATTATAGAAAAAGAAATAAACAATTTATTATAATTAATTACATAAAGTATAATTTACTTATATATTCTTTAACTTAATTTATCATTTCTTTAACAATTTATATCTTTCTGATGTTGATAGCATTATCAAAAAGTAGGCTTCTTTTTTCTTTGTTGGTAAGATAAGCTAAACGTAGTTGACCTTAGCAAAAGTCCGGGTCCTGGATTCAGTCCCCTTTTCTTCCCAATTTTGTTGATTGATCCATGAGCACTGAGTTCCCAAGTCCTGATTGTGAAGGAGAAACTCAACTATGGATCTTTTGTCAGTCAGAGCTACCGTTGCAATGCTTTGTCTTTCTCATTTCTTAATTCTTTCCCAGTTTATATTAATACCGTTATGCCACTTACAGTTTCTTTTACTCTGTTTCAGAAAACTTCTTCTCCGGAGAAAACAAGAGAGGCTTTGCAGCTTTGGCTTCCTAAGGAAGAATGGGTCCCAATCAACCCTCTTTTGGTATGCAAAGCTAATTGAACTTCATACTGGATCACATGGAACACAGATCTTTGATCATCTAATCATCCTTGTCAGTGGCTGAGTTTTTGTTCGAGATTCTGCTCAGTTATAAGAATTTCCATTGGCTAGTTTACGTCTTGATTTATTCAATAAATTCTCTACCATTTATTTCTTCCCTGCAGTTGATAAGCATGTATTTTCTTCTTGTGTTAGCCTGTAATCTAGCAGTTCCAAATATATGGTGCACATCTTATTTATTAACTGAATCATGTCGGCTTATGTTGGAATTTATTCAGGTGGGATTTGGACAAACAATTTGTACCCCAGTTAGACCTCACTGCGAAATTTGCAGTGTTAGCAAGCTTTGTCCATCTGCATTCAAGGAGATCTCAGGACCATCACCCAAGGTAAAGAAGTCTGGTTCAAGCAAGAAGCATTCACCAAATTAGCTTTTCAAACAGCCATGTCTATATTGTTTTGCTGCCATACAGTCATTTTTTGGCCTCCGTATTATTCTCGACCACTAATAGTTTGTGGATGCTTACTTCAGACTAAAAGTAGCTTTTAGGAGTTCATTAGGCAGACTTCTGGAAAGGATGCTTTCGTGTGTGTGTGTGTGTGTGTATATTTTGAATTATAAAAGCAATTCTCAAATCGTCTTGATTCTTGCAGCAAGTTTTTGCAACTGAGTTTCACTCAAATTACAGCAGAAAGGGTAAAAGACAAAAGCATCTCCCACTAAAATATAACATTTTGATACTCTGGGGAAAAAATAAAGAATTTCTGCCATTAAACAGATTAAATGACCAAAGTATCTCTATACCCATTTTTAAATGAAATCCGAGATACATGCTCATATCAGTTAAACAGACAGCTTTTTATAAGCAGAGCGCCCTTGTTGGGAAAGCATAAATCTTCAAGTACAGGCTGACTGCCATAACCAATATTCAAACTCCCTTTGAACAAAGAAGAGGACGTAACGTTGATATTGATTGTGAGTACGTAAGGATCCCTTCTCACTTCGGTACATGCATCCAGAGAATGAAGTCTTGGAAACCATATTCAAAGTTTTAAGGAGATTTGCAAATACCAACTCAGAAAAATTCAGTGGTCTTGTAGAATAACGTTCCATCCTCTGATAGGGCTTTAGACAGCTTGAGTAATCTTGTTCTTCCGACACAGCCAATAACTAGCTATGAGGGGATCCTTCCGCTCCAAAACAGAACAAACCGCAACTGCCAAGCTGGAGTCTAATGGATCAGAATCAATACTTAAAGCATCTACAGCATCCGTAAACTCTGTTTGGTTGGAAACCATGACAGAGAAGATCCAAAAGCGTGCTCAGAGCAAACACACAATCGGTATTGGACTGAAGAACCTCCAAACAAACTGAAGAAACTTGCGAATGATTGATCTACAACTCTGAATCACCTTTGTAGAGGCCCCTAAGGTATCTCCATGGGCTTTCATTCTCAGGGTTGGCTAAAATGGCTTCAATTGTACAATGTACTTCAGACTGTCTCATGGCTTCTGGACCTCACAGGAAGGGCGATCTAGTGATAACAAAATATCTCTGTTGCATCGAACTTACAAACCTAATTTAACTTTCCAAACAAAGAGGACTAAATTTTTATGTAAAAGGAAAGCAAAAAAACTGATTATCATAACCTATCCATGGTAATTGATTCATGGTTATTACGACATTATATTTTTATCATCCAGCCAAAATCAGCAGTTACAAAACTAATAAGCAACTGATTCCGTGCAGAATTATTAAAAACATCTTTGAGGAGCCGCTGACAATAGTGAAGTTCATCTTCCCATCCTCCCAAGGCATAAAAACCCACTTCTTAATTTTCTTTTTTGGGATTTCATTTCTTAATTTTAAATGTGAAGAAAAAGAAAAAAATGAGTTTAAGTAATATCACAGAAGAGAAAACAATAGGTCACACCATGTAATTAAATACACTCCTGGCTAGAGAACGGCAATAAACATGTCAGTGCAACCAACCATGACAATTTTAGCACCAAAAGAGTATTTTCTTTGTCAACTCAAGTTCTTTACTCGCAAACATCAGCTCCCAATTTCTTAATTAAATACAATTGATGGCTACAGAAAGGCCTGTCTGTGTGACCATGCAAGATAGTTTTTAGCATCAAGAGAGTATTTTCTTCGTAAATTCAAGTTCTTTACTCGCGGTATCAGCTCCTAATTTCTCAGCAGCCCAGCATCGATGGTGCCTACAACAGGCAAAAACAAAAGAGAAGAGTTTATCCTCATTATCAAGTTGGTAGTGCAGGGTTCAATTTAAGAGTCAAATTCGACGTCTATTAGCAAATCAGATAGAACCCAAATTTCCAAGCTTGTTGCAACCCCAAAACAGTAATTGATAATAGCTTGAATCTCTGTATTTTTTAAGATGCTCTTGGGTTTTGGTTTATGTAAGGTTTCTGGGTCACCCCCAAGGTGGCAGCATATTGTTATCTTCGTAGATTAAAGTGTTCAATTAACCTTCATAAAACCTTGATTTTATCAATGGCCCAAGTATGTGTTTTTACAAGAATTTTGGTTTGCATTTGTTAACTTTGAGATAAACTCATTGAAACAAAATTATTTCAGTTATATGCCTACCACAACTGAGAGTTTTTGGAATTATTCTTGGCAATTCGCTCAACAAAATCCAGTTCATCATGCAGATCTGCATTAAATGCCTGAAGTACTACACGCCTGAAATGCCACACCTTCAGAGAAGATAAAATCAGGCTTATGTTGGGTATGGTTATACAGAAGAGATTAGCAAAACCTTCCCAAGAGTCAGAAATTTACATGTTTCTAACAAGTTAGGTAAACATTAAAATAATACTTAAAAATGACTGTGACTACGGAAACGAAATCTGAAGAGAATAAAATTAGATCTCTGCAGGTTTTTGACAGTTCTCTTTTAGCCAAGTGGCTTCAGAGGTTTAAACATATATTGCAAATGCAGTTTGTGTAAGGAGATTATTATTGCGAAGTATTACTTGGAGAGAAAAGGGTGGATATGGCACTAGCCTTTACAGGTGGCTAAGCAGGAACTAGAATCTGGTAGTCAATCTGGTGCATTTTAGGATAGTCAATGTGAGATGGTTTCTGGCATGATCTTACAAGAACTGAGAGTTCAATTCTTGAGATTCTTTAAGCTTGCTAGACATAGATGCTTCAGTCAAGGATCTCTTGAGCTGGGACAATCTCATACCCTGCTACAATATGTTACTTTCTTACAATCTGAATGATTGGGAGATTGATAACTTAGAGACATTACTGCTAATGTTATTTTGGTGCTAGGTTGATCGGTGTTTCTAACAACCCAGTCTGGTTGTTTGAAGAATGATGAATTCTTTGTTAATTCTTCTACCCCAACCTTGCCAATTTGAAGTTGCTTTCAGATTTTCTTCGAAGTAGATTTAGGAGAAGGTCTCACATAGTGTATATAGCTTTCTTTGCTTGGGAGGTTGCCTGGACAGAATTCTCACCTATGAGAACCTAGGAATAGAGGAAGAATTATTGTGAATCGCAGTCTACTGTGCCTCCATACGAATGAAACCCTAATCACCTACTCTGGTGCCCTCGGTTTAGGGAACTGATAGCCAGTCAGCAGGTTTCTCTTCAAATATAATTTTGATATTGAAGCGTGTGTATGTAGACAAAGAACACCTTGTAGAGAAAACCTAAGCAATCCCCTTCTTCCTCTCGAGTCTTGACAGTTCAGAAACACAAAAGCAGTGCATACTTATGAAATAAATAGAGGCGTACAGTGTAGTTTCCAGCATTGAGATAGATGGCCTCTTCGGAGAGGCGGAGAGCGCGAAGGGATCGCTCATTGGCGTGATAAATGGCGCGAAAATAGTTCATTGTTTATCTGAAATCTTCCTTGTCGGCGATCGGCACAACCGGATTCGGGCCGTCGTCTTGGGGGATTGGAATCACGTACGATCATTCTTCCCTCTGGCTCAGTAGCACTCTCTCTTGCGTCCCCGCTTCCATCTCCATCTCACTCTCTGAACAGACTTTGCTCGACGAGCGGCAGCAGTAGAGAAATAAAAACATTTTGTAATTTTTATTTCTTAAATTTATATATTTTATGAAAATTTTGATTAAAAATAGCCCCTAAACATTTTTTTTTTTCCCCCCGATTTTCTGTATTATATTTTAATTGTTATAATTAAGTTTGTAATTTTCATTTCTTTATTTAATTTATATTTTGAAATCAATAGATAATTTTAAAAGTCCAGCAACCTCTCTCCTTTGGCTGGTTGGATTTTAATATTGCATATTAACTCGCCAAGAGAAATGGAACATGGTAGGAAATCAGTCGTGACCGAAAAAGCAAGTCATTGGATAGACTATATACGTGCCAAGGTGGAAATAAATCTAACATAAGAATTGTAATCTGCTCTTATTCCTAAAATGAATAGAGATGAAAGTTGGATACTGTCCTAGTATTAAAAAAAATCACATAATTCTATTACAATTATGGTAAAATTGGGCACCATGATAAAACATGCTTTGAACTTTCTCTAATTATAATCACTCCTAAAGCAAAATTCTTTAAATTCACAGTTTGTCAATGAAAATTGATTAATCTACTACCGTGCATAAAGTTATTTGGAAAGTTGGATGTCAATTTAAAAATAAATTAAAAAGGAATTTTTCAAATTTATAAAAATGTTACATAATTTTTTAAAAAATTAAGGAATTTTTTTTTATAGATGTACTAAAATTATATTGCATAATTAGGATATGGTAAGACAAATATCAGATTTAGCTTTACATAAAAACAATCAAGTAACTCTAGTATAGCCGTCACTAACTGATATGGACCATCGAATTCTAAAAATATTAGGTATATGAGATGGTTCTCAAATATTGTTGTGGATTAATAAATATAAAACTAAACTTCATTTATTATAAATGATGTAAGATTATATGTTCTGAATTCTTAAATAATGAGATAAACATAACTTTTAAGATGAAAAATGACGAATGTCCAAGTCTTTTATGCTGAAACCAAATCTTGTGTATGAGGCTAATAGTAACAGTAGAGAAGGATTCCCTAGATGCATCCAAGTAGTAGAGTTTGTTACTATACAATTCAAGTATTATGATAATTATTTAATTGACACAAAATTAGTACATATTTCGGGAAGTTACAAGACTTTTTTTAGACATAAAAGAGGACATTTTTAGGTTTACAATACGTGAAATGATGGTCTCTAAAAAATTGCAATCCTAAACTGATGTGATGAGAATCATTATATGGGTCATTTTAAAATAACAAAAAATATTTACGTAAATATTTTTATGTGACGATGTACGCGATAAATTTCTTCTCACTGTATTATCTAGACACCTTTCATTGTGATAATGTGTGTGATAATTTTTGTCATATCATACTAAAGTTGAAATATTTTAGAAAATTAACTTTAACAAAATTTTATGTCAACTCTTATTTTCTTAAAAATAAATTTTAAATCTTTTTTACTTGAAATCCCCAATATTTCTTGAATTTAAAAAATTTGAAGGAGAAATTTCACTTTAGCCTTAATTTGAATGACCCACTTAAATAAAGTTAGATAGGTCTTTATGAATTTCTTCCCAAATGATTTTTTCTTAAATATCTTCATGTCTCTTTCTTCTTTCTTTATTCTATGTGGTACTTTATTTTTCAAAATCTTATAAAACAAACATTAAAAAAATTAATAAAATTTTTTGACAATGTTGTTATTAGAGAGTATGGGCCCATTTGGCGAACTTGTACATGTATTGTGAATGGTAAAAATACTGCTAAAATAAAATTTAAGTGAAAATATTTTTAACTAAGAAGTTGTATTGTATTTGATAAAAATAACTGTGTAAAGTATTGTCATCTTAAAAGTAAAAACTATTGTATTTGGTAGAAATGACTATGGATAGTAAAATGACGAGGAAAGATATAATTTTTTTTTCTTAATATTAATAAAATTATTTATTTTTTAATTTTAAAAATATTTAAATAATTTAAAATATCTCACTTTTTTCCTCTCCCTTCCTTTGCCTCCACTTTCTTCTCACGACCCTTTTCTCTAGCTCTCTGGCCTTTATGTTCGAGCATATACAAACAACCAAATTCTTGTACATGAATATTTTCCAAGGGTGTTAATTTCATGTCTAATCTAAACACCCTCTTCTTCTTACTCGTCTCCTTCATGGTTAATACCGCTAACCCAATCACCATTGTTGATCTCTTTGTTTCTAGCGGTAAACTCCCAATACTACTTGAAAACTCACCTCTATGGTACCTCATGTGTCCACCTCGAACATCTGTTTGACTGCAAACTCAAGCCCATAGATCGAGCATTCATATGTTTTTGATTTCCTTAATAAAAACAAAAACTGCTAGTATTTTCTAGAGATGTCCACTGCAAAAGCCAAATGGGAAAAAAGGTGGTAGGGCGATGGTGGCAACTATAGTTTTTATGGAGAAGATATGTAGTGGGAGATTTATAAATAAGGATATGTTTATAATTAATAAATTTATTTCAAGATAATTTTAAAAATCATGTATATATATTTTTCAAAAGGCATATGTAAGTTTTGAAAGTCATGTAAATAAGGATATGTTTGTATTTATATATGTTAAATTTATATTATAAATATTTTAACTTTTTTTTGTTTTCTTGCAAAGTGCTTAGACACATAGAAGGTGTTACCAAAAACTACAATCAAAAATTCCATATATCTCTTAAACAGTTCAAAATAATATATTAGAGCTCTATATCTTTTTAAATTGATTAAATGACCAAAATACATATCATTGAATCACTCTTATAACGATGAAATTATCTAACTTTTTAATTAGCTAGCTTTTTTTTTTTATTGACACCTTCGCCTTTTTTAAGAAATCACTTATATAATTGTTTTAGTTTAATTTTTTTTAATTATTCTCTATTTTTTAAATTAGTTTTTCTTTTTTATTTATATCATAATTTTAACTTATAAATAATATTTAATTGGAGTGTCAATATATGTTGTACGAATTGCACTTTTTTCTAGAGTTTTATAATGACAAGAATATTTCTCATTAAGATTTTTATACTCTTTAAAACTTTTTGAAAAGTAATTAAAAGCAAAAAAAAAAAAAATAATATTTTATAAACTCTATGCGTGTTAAGGTTCTTTCTTTCATATCAAGTTCCTTAATAATTTTTTTTTTTTGGGAAAAATATTATTTTAAAAGACATCTATTTAAAAGTGAGATAAATGCACATTAAAATTCACTAGAATTTAGTATATCCGAACTTTTGTCAATCCAAAGTTAGTTTATACTAATTTAAAAATAATTAAATTTATTTAATAGTTAATAGCTTATAAAACTAAATATTTTTTATAATTAGTATAGATGAACTAACAATTAGTAAATATTGTAATTTCATATACAAATATTTCATAAATGCAATATTAATCAATAAAATTCTCATCTTTTATTAATAAAACAATATTTCTTATTTTTATTCTTGTAATTAAACCTCATAAATGCTTTTAAGATAGTAGATAATTAATTACTTATAATTAATTTACTCATTTCTTGTGATATAAACAAAAAACAGTAGAGTTAAGAGCATTTGTTGACTTCAATGAATAAAGAACATTTTTATCATTTGATGAATTTTAAAGAATGATATTATTATAAATAATTTTTATTCATTGAAGTCAACAAATGCTAATTGATATTATTATAAATGTTAAAGATTGTTATGTTGGAGAAGGGAGCCGATTGTTGCCCGCCGCCGCGTTGGAGTCATCTTCAATCGCCAAAAAAGGTAAAAATTCACCTATCTGCTCGAAATTTGATTCTGAACACCTTCATGGCCAAATCAGAACAAAAGAAACGGCGAATGAGCCAAAAACTGCGGGTAAAGTCCAGCGGTACCGCACGGGCAAAACTCGAAACCGCCTCCGATGAGCCCCTTCTAGTTTCCTGTTTTGTGCAATTTTTCCACCATTGTTTTCACCGTTTTATTTTCTATAGTTGACCGAAGTAAAACACTCAGTTGCGATGGTGAGCTGGCGGAGCCGCTGCACAAGAACATTTTGCAATGTTGTTTCATACCGGACGGGGTATCGAGGATTGGTATTTTTTACACTCATACCATACGGAGTATGAGGATGACCCGTTTCACCCTCATACCGGACATGATATTGAGGGATAGTATTCTTAGCGCTCATATTGGACGGGGTATGAGGATGGCCAGTTAGTTGACAATGTTGAATAATAGTTCACGCGTAGTGGAACATCTCTATTGATCACAGGGATACCATGTAACGGCCCCGGAAATTAAAAAGGAAATGTATATAAAAAAAATCTGAGTGCGGAAGCGAAATAAAAGGTTCTGATTCCCTTACACAATAACTTAAACATACTAAATAATATCAAAAAAATAAGTCCTCTAAAGAAAATACTATAAATAAAAGACTATAAAGAAAACTATAAGACATCTAAACATCTATTCGCCGTCTTCTTGTGGATCGGGCTCGGGAACCAAGTCCTCCTGATCTGAAATGGTTAAGTAAGGAATGAGCTACACTGGCCCAGTAAGGACGTCACACTATATCACTATCACATAAGTAAAGGTTGGTAGAAAAGCAAAAACAACCAATGGAGCACAAATTTTAAACAAATTCATTTATCAATAATTAAACCATTTACCGTCCACTTACCTTAGTGAGATTTATAAAAACGACCCATGGAAACAATAACATCATAGATATCATGAATTCATATATAATTTGTAACATAACATATGTCATACTTTTATATTTCAATCATCAAACAACAGTTGCCCCCTTTTCATCAGCCTACTAGTATCCATGAGGATCCATAGGGGTCCCCGCTATATGTGAACCATTTCTTTAACAAACTTAATTTCCAGGGCCGTCCCCATACCCCGTCCAGTATGGGCGCCAAACAATAAACCTCAATACCTCGTCCGGTATGAGGGTGAAGCGGGCCATTCCCATACCCCGTCCGGTATGA